GTTGGGGGGGGGGGTGTTTGAGTCTAGCCTGTTGAGACCACCCTCCATCTCCATGTTTTTCCAAAGGTTGTCAGAACATTTCTGTGCTCACATCTGTGAGTTCTGCCTGAAATGTAGTTCACCAGAATTTGAAGATATGCATTCTTAAAGTGACCTCTTCTGCTTGTACCTAGGTTCTCTTTTAATGAGGTTTCTAAAGCAAAACAGTTGCTGAGCAGTCCTGTTTTCTTTAATTAATTAATATACCATCTGCGCTTGAATTGGGGAATTTTTTTTCACTGGAGTCTGTTTTCCATAGTAAGGTGTACTGTGAACAGCATGCAGCAACTCCGATTCTGCACTTTAAGAATTAACTTATTTCTTATGAATTAAGAGTTGTGAAATTAAGGATGTTTCACAAGGGGCAGAAGGTAACGAATTAGTGAGGCCAGATAAGTGCTAGACTCTGGGAGTGACAGAGTCCTGTGACCTGGAGGGTGACCGCCCAGCTGAGAATCCATCTAATTTAGAACAGTTTAAACCTTGCACTGGTCAAACAGAACACTGGTCAAGCACTACTGCGAATGTGTGGCCTTTGCTCTAAGTGCCCTGAAAGAGGTAGAGCTACGTGTATTTCAGTGTTATTCCCAACATCTAACACACTGTGAAGCACATGGATGTTTGATAAATAGCCAAACCTTAATTAGCATTCATAGAGTGCCTCAATGTGGGGAACTGTTTGTGCAAAATAAAAGGAGAAATGACTGCTGCCCTTGAGGATTATTTAATCTCATTTGGGGAGACAGGCAGTGCAACTGGTCCCTCAAACCGTGTTATCAAGGCCACATGTTCCCCAGGCAGGGTATTTAACCTGCTTAGTGTACAGTTAAACATCAATGTGTGTTGTAAAGTGAGGGAAAATATTTATAAGACACCAGGGAAAGAGGAAAGGGAACATGGAAATGAGATATGCTCAATAGAAACAGAGCTCAATTAGGTATTTACTCTAAAAGCTCCAGACACTTGGTCACCATTTGTAACTTATGGCTATACATACACACTTTGTTGCTCTCTTTGTAAAAATATAGGACTTTCTTTCAATTTGTCTAAACAAATTATTTAAGCCAGCTAACATTTACTGAGGCCCTTCACTGTGCTAGGCATATGCAAGTAGGGTTACAAAGATTAACAGTTGTGTGTTACCCACTTTTTCCCAGGAAGAATTTAAGCAGTGCTGCCATGCTCCTGCCTTCAGGCCTGTCTGGTGTGGGCACAGACTGGTAACCCAGGCAGAACAGGAGAAGTTCAGGGATGGAGGTGAATATGTTACGGAAACCCAAGGGGGCAATAAAGTAATATGTTATGTAGTTAGAAGGCCTTTACACAGGAAGTACTTGGACACTTAAGAATGGGCAAATTTTTAAAGAGAAGAAATTGTATGAAATTATACTAGAGAGAAGTGGGGGCTTATAAGGAAGCCATTTAAAAGAGAAAGCATTTTAAGGAATCTGTGGAATAAATAATTGTCTTAGCCTATACGGATGATTACATCATGATTTTCAGATTGCGTTGAGAACTGAGCATGCATTTTTGCATTAGTTTTGGCTTCGTGTTCTGATTCAAGTGCAGATTCCTAGTTTCAGCTACAGGAGCTAAAGAATAGTCCAGTTGTACCAAACTAAAGACAGTATTCTGACATTGTTACCCAGCTCTCCTCCCACCCCCACCCTCCACTTAACAACAGCTGCTCAAGGAGCTGGCTTCAGAATTGTACAGAGCTTAATGCATGTGTCACAAGTACAGTTGTCATTTAGCTGGACTCACCATGACTATGAGTATACAATATGAAGTTTAAATGTTTTATAATCTTACTGTCGATCTAGATCAGGTTTTCTCCAACTAGTTTGTTTTCTTCCAACTAGTTGGTCAGAAGCTACTCTTCCATTTCCTGCCAGGATGTATGTTGCAGTGCTGGAGTGCTTGCTGCAGACCAAAGTTCAGTACTCCCATCATAGACAGGAGTGGTCAGGTGAAGCCAGGCATGAACCCAGAGAGCACATAATGATAAACACACTATTAGAACTGCTATTATTTCTAAGGAATAGGCATTTTTATTAATTGCATCTACACTGAAATTTGATAGTGTGTGTGTATATATATATGCATAAAACTTTCTTAATAAAGACTACAACATGGTTTTTATTGTATAGAGGTTCACATTGATTCAGGGCCAGGGTCCATTTTAAGCCATAAGCTGAGATATAACACGACAGAAACCTACTGAAAGGCTGAGACTGTGACATAAGTAGGACGGCAGTCATGCCCTCTGTCAATCTAGCGCGTAAGGTGGACTTTCAGGGCTTTCGCAGCCTGTTTATCCCGAGCAGCACATTCAGTCCTTGTCTTTTTTATTTTCCTAGAGCTTTGTGTGTTTAGGCCCAGCTCATATTCAAGTTACGACTTTTTTTGTGACCCCTCTCCCGGCCAGCTCCCAGGTTCGCTCTGACACTGGCCAGGACGGAGGACCGCAGCTGGGAGGCCCCAGCAGACGGCCCAGCCACTGCCAGACCATGTCCAAGGGAAGTGCCAGGCCAGGGCCTAGCGCGTGATGGACTTAGTGCTTTGAGGCTGCAAAGTAACACTGAGGAAACAGTAATAAAAAGGGCTTTCTTTTCTTTACATAAATATTCTACTGTCTAGATACTTTCAGGTCCTATAGACCTTCAAGAGATGTGGGCAAACTAAAGTGTGTGGGGGATGGAGCATTACTCATCTAGCTCTGTGGGTAAGGTGGCACATCCCTCCTCCTCTCTATCCCCTTAGGCACAAGTTCAGGAAAAGCAGTTAACGGCAAAGGACTCCCAGTAATTTCCAAATTGATTTCTCTTTTATTGCCATTCAAAATCAAAGCACTCCACAAGGAAGTGAGAAATGCTTCGGCTGGTAGTCAGGAGGCAGCGGCAGCTTCTTGCTCTTCGGTAGGTCCAGAAAAATACGACCACCAAGTCTGGGCTGATTTTAGGTCAGTGTAAGAACAAAGGAAACAACAAACCTATCACAGGAGGCTTACAGCACCTGTGCTCTGGATGCTGCCCATCATTTTCAAGAGCTGGAATTTTAGATTGATTTTAAAATTTGGTGTGACAAATTCAAGCAGGCAGCCTTTTTAGGCATAAATATACTCATTCCCTGGACTTATGTCTCCCAGAATGTTCTCAAAAAGCTGTATTATTGAAGTAAAAATTACAATAAAATACAGAGATGCTAAGGGTACAATTGGACAAGTTTTGACAAATGTATACACCCATGTAATCAACACATCAATCAAGATATAGAACATTTTCATCACCGAGAAAGTTCTTTCATGTCCCCTTTAAAACAGTCCTTACAGCCTCCCACCCAAAGACAACCACTATTATGATTTCTGTTCATGGGGTGTTGTCCATACTTGAAATTCAGATAAATATGATCAGTCTTTTGTATCTGGCTCATGTTTCTGAGGTTCATCCATAGTGTTGCACATCTCAGCAGTTCACTCTTTGTACTGTCAAACAGATTCCATTGTGTGGATATCCTGATCACTGCCAACTGACATTTGGGCTGTTTCCAGCCTTGGCTGTTGTGAATAAAGCTTGGCATTGGTATGTCAATTTTCTGCAGACATGTTTCCATTTTCTTAAATACCTAGAAATAAGATGGCTGGTTCATAGGGTGAGTTCATGGTTAACTCTGTAAGGAACTGCCAAACAAGTTCTTTAAAGTAATTGTACCATTTTCCACTGCTGCCAGCAACATATGCAATCCACATTCTCACCAACACTAGGCATTGTTGGACTTTTTCATTTTAGCGATCGTGGTGGGTGTATAATGGTATTACACTGTGGTTTGATTTTGAAAATACCTTTTTAATTTACATACAGTAAAACTGACTCTTGGTGAACAGTTCCGAGTTTTAATATATGTTATAGATTCACATAGCCACCTCCACAGTCAGGATACAGAACAGTTTCATCACCCAAAACAGTTCCCCCCGATCTGCCCTTTTGTAGTCATAATCTCCTCCTACTCCTAACCCCTGATAACTACGTCTGCTGTCTGTCCCTGCCTATAATTTTGCCTCTTCCAGAATGTCATATAAATAGAATTATGCCCTATGTACACTTTTGAAACTAGCCTCTTTCAATCAGCATAATGCCTTTTAAGAGTCATCCATATTGGTATCAGTATCTTTGTTATTTTCAACGTTTGGCAATTCTAAAACTGCAATAAACGTGTACAAAGGTTAAGTAAACACAGATTGCATGTCTTTAGGGTAAGTACCTAGGAGGGGGATTGCTGGGTCATATGTAAGTGGATGTTCCAACTTTAAGAAACTGCTGAGCTGGCTTTCAGACTGGCTGGGCCATGTTGCATTCCCACTGGCAGTGTGTGAATGCTCTGGGTGCTCTGCATCCTCACCGGCACTCGGTATTGTTTTTACTTTGCTCATTTAATAGGTGTAGAGAGGCGTCTTACCATGGTTTTAACTTGCGTTGCTCTAATGGCTAGTGATGTTGAACATCTTTCCATATACTTACTTGCCCTTTGTAGGTGGCCTTAGGTGAAAAGTATGTACAAATTTTTTATTCAAAAACTGGGTAGCTTTCTTACTGTTGAGTTTTGATAGTCACTTATATATTCTAGAATGAAGTCATTTTTTTTTGATAAGTGATATTTGCAAATATTTTGTCCTGATATAGGGCAGGGTTTTTTTTTGTTTTTTGTTTTTGTTTTCATTTTCTTAACTGTGTTCTTCTCAGAGAAAAGTTTTCAGTTTTGATCTAATCCAGTTTATCATTTCTTTATGGTTCCTGCGTTTGGCATCATATCTAAGAACCTCTGGTGACTGTTTCCTGTCATCTTGTAAGTCTTATAGTTTTATATTTTACATTTAGATCTATGATCCCTTTTGAGTTAATTTTTGTATAAGGAGTAAGAAATAGTCAAATTTGTGTGGGGGTTTTTTTTTGGGGGGGGGGATGGATGTATGTCCAATTGTTCCAATCCCTTTTGCTGAAAAGGTTATCCTTTTTGCATTGAATTATTTTTTAACATTTGTCAAAAATTAGTTTACCATATTTTTGTGGATTTCTATTCTGTTCCATAGATTTGTGTGTATAGCCTTCCTCAAATATAGCACTATCTTGATTACTGTAGCTTTATAATCATTCTTAAAATGGGGTAATGCAAGTCTTCCAACTTTGTTCTTTCTCAAAATTGTCTTGGCTATTCTAGTTTCTTTGCTTTTCCATATACAATTTTTTATTTTTTTACTTGGGCCTGGAGGGTTTTTTTGTTTTTGTTTTTCTGGAAAGGTTTAAGTTGTAGATTCAATTCTTTAATTGATACAGGGTTATCAAACTTTCTGTTTTGGTCATTTGGTTTGGGTTGGTAGAGTTGTTCATAGTATTCCCTTGTTAGTCCTTTAATGTATGTAGGATGTATAGTCAGGTTCCTTTTTCACACACATCTTGGTAATGTGTGTCCTCTCATTTTTCTTGTTCAGACTAGATAGAGGTTTAACTATTTTATTCGACCTTTTTAAAGAACCAGTGTTTGTTCCATTGATTTTCTCCAGTTTGTCCCTTCTTTGCTTCACTGATTTCTGCTTTTACCTATATGATTTCCTTCCTCCTTACTTTGTCTAATTTACTTTTCTTTTCCTAGCTTCTTACTGTGAAAGCTTAGATCACTGACTTAAACCTTTCTTCTTTTCTGTTCTAAGCACTTAAATCTATAAATATCCCTCTGAGGTTTCACAATGCATTTCAAATTTTTGATATTTATGGTTTATATTATATAGTTGAAAATATTTTAATTTCCTTGGGATTTCTTTGCTCCATGGATTATTTAGAAATGTAATAGTTTCCAAGTATTTGGGAATTTTCTGGGTATTTTGTTATCATTTATTTCTAATTTAATTCTGTGGTGGTTGGAAAATATACTTTTAAGATTTTAAGCCTTTGAAGTCTGTTGAGTCCATCATTAGTCTATCTTAGTGAATGTTTTATATGCACTTGACAAGAATATGTATCCTGTCGTTGTTGAGTATAGTCTTACAGTGACACTACCCACATATATTTTGTCCAGGCTTAAAGTTGTCTTTGGTGAGAGGGCAAATCTGGCACTACTTTTGTTATGGTATGATAAAACTGCTTTTGCAGAACCTAAGATCTCAGAAAAGATTCTATTCATGGCCTTTTATATATCTGAAACTCAATTTTCTAAGTAATCATTTTCAGGTTAACTATGTCCATTTCCCTTAATCATGCCTCAAAACACAAAACAGATACTATGTAAGTCATTACATGTTGGCGATGTACAACCAGGACAGTTCTTGTCTTTAAGAAGTTCAGTCTAGTAAACCAGACAAACATCACACTCCCTTGTTCCATTTTTGCAGTAACCTCTGGAGCGTGTAGCAGGGCATACAGAGCTAAAAGTCATTACAAGCAGAAGGCTGGACTTCCTTTCTACTCCCCATATCATCCTTATTAGGGGTAGAAGTGGGGAACAATGTATTATGGGAGAAAAGAGGTAGAATTTATAGAACCCTAAAAAATGTATAGCAATAAGACCTGGGCAAAGGTCACTTTTTCTGGACTTTAATTACAGACTATTAAAAAATGAATTAAATGCATGCTAACATTTACCTTCTTAAGATCAGTAATTTCAGAAATAAATCAACTGAGTTTTATTTTATGAATTTTTAGGGTTATGTCTTTGACCCAAAAACTAAGATATAATCATGGACATAACTTCATTCATAGCCTTTGCCTGTGCTTTCTTATGGCTAAACCTCCCTTCAATAAGGCCGGTTTGCATTGTTCTAGTTACCCTAAGTCCTACTGTAAGAGAAATTCATTCAGAGATAATCAGTTGGGAAGCTCAGAAGACAGATCACAAGTGCTGCAGTCCACTTCCCTCGGGAGAAACATCCAAACCTGTAGAGAATTTTTATGAGTTTATTTGAACCAAAGCTGATGGCAAATGCCAGAAAATGACATCTAAAATGTTCCAAAGAAAAACAGTTTGCAGGTTTTTATAAGCATTTGAAATTAAGAAATACAGGGTGGGAGAAAGCAAGGCTGGAGCTGGATCACAAGATGATAAGCTTTCTTAAGGGCAGTTACGCCTTCCTGGGGCATTACTTCTGGCACTTCAAAGGTGTGTTAACCTAGAGGCACAGAAACAATGGACAGGGCTTGCTTAAAAACCTTCAAATAAAGAAGTTACAGGCCTGGAGTGTGACTACCACCACCCTTACCTTCCCAGTTAGGAATTTATGGGTTATTACAGCACACATTTTTGTCAACATATCAAACAGGAGTAAGAATGAGATATTTAGGGTGAGAAACCTTTAACCTTATTTTAAATTAATTTGAGCTTTTTACACGGAATATCTAATCCAGAAGAAAAATAGGTTGCTTTGCCACATCTGACTTGTGTTTCTTAGAGTTGATGGCACTAGTGTAAAGGCTGGCCATCGTTCTGAGCAGGGGACAAAGCCTGACTCTAGTAACAACCCAAGATATGTAGATTTATGGGGCTTGAGGCAGAAGCAAATTTTGATTTGCTGGTTTCCCTTAACAGTATAGGTCAGAGGTTGGCAAACATAAAGGGCCAGATAGTAAATATTTTAGGCTCTGCAAGCCCCATGGTCTGTCACAACTACTCAGCTCTGCCTTCGTGTCACGGAAGTAGCCGTAGCTCAGAGGAGTTCCAGCGGCGGCAGGAGCTCCCCGCTGTGAAAAAGGAGGCGAGTCCAAATAAAGACTATCCCAAGTGGGACATGCTTGCTGGGACTTTCCAGGCAGCAACAGAGTCTGTGCTGGACTCTGCACACAAGCACAACAGCTCCCTAGAGCAGACTGAAGAATCAGAAGCCTCTCCTCACTCCCCATCCAGACACCAACCACGAGCACAGACCCCAGGGCTCCAAGCTCTTCCTGCCTGAGGAGGTCAGTGGGAAGCAGCAGGAGTCACTGTGTTTCGTCCTGGACATCATGCATCACTGCACGGAGGGGGACTGGAAACAGAAGCCGAAACAGGCTGGGAAGGCTGGCAATGAGCCGAACAGGACGCTCACAGACCCCCCAGAGCCTCCGAGGGCCAGCCCAGACCCTGGCCCCAGGCTGAGCCAAAGTCTAAAGTGCTTGACCTCACTTCCCTGGTGGAGCAGAAGCAAGAGGGGAGAAAAGCCAGCAGCAAAAAGCAACAACTGAACACATCAAGGTGGGTTGTCCAGGAGCCCGCCTGTCCCAGTGAGCACACGCACAGCAGCAATCTGGTGCTGGCCGACTCCCCTCAGCCCAGGGGCAAGAGCAAGAGAAACAGGAAGAAGGGAGACAGAGCCAGCAGCTCCGTGATGATGTCTTTCTCCCTGAAGATACCGAGACAGTGTGGACATGGATGAGACGGAGAGGGAAGTGGGATATTTCAAAAGATTCTGCTTGGTTCTGTCAGACCTGACAAAGAGTGTCCATCAACTGGTCCAATTCTAGCTTGAAAAAAGCCACCTTTGCTGCCCACTGAATAAGGTCGGCCTGGAGAGGGATGCCTGGGAGCTCACACCTGGGACCCCAGACCAAGGACGTGCTACCTGGCCCACATTGTTAGCTCGTGTGTGAAGTCTGATTGTAGCTCAGTGCCATCAGATTGGACAGTAGCTCCTCCCACTTATTCTGCAGACTGGGAGGCCTGGGCATGGCCAGAAATGAGCTTGTGTCATTCACGTGGCTCCCTCACTTTTGCATCTTACCTGTCCTGTTATCTGTCGCCATCACACAGTTCCCGCCCAAGCCACAATCTACTGTTAAGACTATATTGTGCTGTCTGACCCACCCTGACTTATAGTCAACTTGTATAAGACCCCTGCAGAGTGAGAAAGTTCGAAAACAAAACCCACCCAGTATTCACTGTAGTCATAGATGATACGTAAACAAATGGGCATGGCTGTGTTCCAGTAGACTTCATTTATAAAACAGGCAGCTAGAATTTGGCCCAAAGACTATAGAGTTTGTTAAGTTAGCTAAAGTTTAAGTTGTGTTTTCAGTTTTATAAACTTTTCAAGATCTTATAAAAATGTTTTCCTATTTTGTAACGTGCCATTTTTATTGATTATCCTTTTTTCTGTTGATAAGATAAAGCTACGGTTACTTCACATTTCCTCCAAGTGACCAGTGCTAAAAAGGACTGTTTCCACATGCTATGTGATCCTGTCATATTTTGCATTCTAAACCTTCACAATGAAACTTCTCTTTTCTTGACAGATAAACACATATGAAGGTGGTAAAAGGGAACAGTGATTTCTGAGGTACCTGGAGAGGAAAAGCACTGGTCAGCGTCACGTGGACAAATGCTCCGTGTTTCCTAAAGATGCTGTTGAAATAGTCTTTCCTACTGCCTTGCTTCCCTCAACGTTCTTGATAACATGGGCTGCATGAAATCAAAGCAGACTTTCCCATTTCCTACCACAACTGAGGGTGACAAGCGGCAGACAAGTGCAGAAAGCTTCATGTCAGCAGAGAGATTTCCACCTAGGATGCCGTCTCCAGTTACCATCCAGGAAGTGAAGGAACCCACAGAGCCCAAAATTGTGGTCTCTGAATTTGCACACCGCCTGTCCCAGGAAATCGTGAGTGATGCCTTGCAGCAGTGGGCAGACAAGAACATCAAATACTCTGACATCCCATATATTGAGAGTGAGGGGCCTTGACGCTGCAGAATTATATCACTTTCTTGAACTGTGGATATAGTTGGTGCTAGTTTAAATACATGAAACAAAAGCAAAAAGTTGTATGAATAAATACATATGATTCCATCTGATTGTAAAAATCAGTCTATGATAATATCAAGAGTATAGGAATACCTAAAATGAAATGTTTTTTAAGCAATTCTTTGGTAATAGTAATTTTATCCACGTGGTCTTGGATTTTACTTAAAGGGCTAAACATAGGTCCTGTGGTACCATAGTATTCAGCTGTGTGTCACACCACTTTCTCCTTAGACAGTACAGCATCACCAAAGACAAAAATTTAAAACTGCCCCCAAGTCTCCAACTGGTTTAAAGACAATTCTTTAAAATAATTATTTGTTAATTTACACCAAAACCCCCAAGATAATGAAAAGGATTTTTCTTGAAATTTCTTGGCAATAAATGGCACTCAAGCCATAGTGATTAGCAAGGGGTTTTGTTAATCAAAACCATTTGTGTCAAGGATCCTTATTTCTTAACACAAATGGTCAAGCATTAGAAAGCAAACCATCCAGAAGAGATCCACCTTGAGCCTTGTCCTTAAGAAGATAGTTTTGTTTGTCCTGGCCATGTGGCTCAGTTGGTTGGAGTGTTGTCCCATACACCAAAACACTGCAGGTTCAATTCCTGGTCAGGGCATGTATGGGAGGCAATTGACGTTTTTCTCTATATATCCTTTCCCTTCTCTCAAATCAATAAAACATATCCTCAAGTGAGGATTAAAAAAAAAAAGCTATTATGCTTTTCATCTACGAAAATAAGTATCACCTTGAACCTCAGGACCTCAAGTACAGCTGTTATTGGATGACTCAGACTTTTCATACAAGGCATTTCACAAGATACAATTGATAGAAGTCATGGCTTTAATGTTTAATGCACTGAATTAAACCCAGTGGTATATAACTATACAAGAAAACAAGTTTGGGTACCTTTATAAACAACAATCCAGTAATTTTAAAACAGATGCCCTAGTTGGAAAGGTAGAAAGCATGATCTGGTCTCAGTGCTGAACGTGTACTAAGCTGTCTCACAGACATGCAGGGTTAGTATTTTTTTTTCTTATTGTAACAATGTCCGTAGGGCATCTACAGCCATATACTATACTATTTTCATAAATTTGGCTTTTTTAGGAATTTATTTTTTAAGAATTTAGCACTGTTTTGAGATCACTGGTGACAGAAAATTTAGGAGACAGGGAAGAAGGTACTAAGCCATAACTTGTAGGAGGATTGGGACTGAGTCTCTAGAATTATCTTTTCATCAAGATTTGTTGTTATAGACTGAGTTTAACTGGAAAGGGAATTATTTAAGCCCATGTGTGTTAGATCCTTTTATTAAGATACAACAGACCCTTGTCACTGAAATCTAAATGAAGGCAGAGAAAAGCTTGTGGCCTCTAATGAAATAAATATGTATATGTATTTTGCCTTTAAGCAAACAAATGCTACCTCTAATTTTAACAATTATACTTTGAAACCCACAACTGAGTAGAGTGGATTCTCTAAGTTACATGAGCCAAGAAAGTTCTTTGAAGTTAATGATGTGCCATCTTTCCATTGCCTTTGGATGTCTGGCCACTCAACTTCCATTTCACCTAGTCCCAGGCAGTCACCTTAGCAACTCAGAAAATAGAAAAACCACCATATACAAGGATCTGAAGTCATAAGGCTGAGAACAGGAACTTTCCTAAAACTGCAAAATGTATTTCTAGCTCATGAAGAAGAATTTAGGTTTCTGAGTGTTTATACTGACAGATAAAAGCCTAGAGGCTGCCATTTTTTCATTTGATATATCAGGACACTTTTGCAGCAAGGTCATTTGCTGAAAGATAAATCAGGTATATAAAATAACACATATTATGAGAACACAAAGCTATACAAAAGCAGCACATCACACTAAAATTTTCGGCACATAGGGACAGAGGCTACTGGGTTTCAGTTGTATCTACATATTTTAACCTCAAGTTCCTCCTTTGCTCTGGGCCCCTATTTCCCGGGGGTGTAACAGGGATGCCACCCTCTCTGACCTTATGGCAGTAGGCCCCCTCGCTCCTGAACCATTTTCACAGAGTATAATAGCCTATGACGTACAGAGACTTACCTTGGAAATGCATGCTGCATTACTCATCAAACGACGGACAAGGAACTACAAGGCTTGCACAGTCAGTGCACTACTGGATAAACCAAGGTGGGAGCAGGCAGGAGAAAAGAGCTGCACAAACAAATCTGTACTGCATGTGGCAGGCATTAAGATATAGTTTGGTACTGATGACAAGGTACACAAGAACACCTTTAACAGGATAATTCAGATTCTTTCATACCTTCATATTTAAATACTCAGTTTACTTTATTTTAAAGGTCTTGCATGAACAATAAAAAAGTAAAAGGACTGTTTGAGGGAGGAGACATATAAAACAGAAGACTGAAAGAATTATTAGCTACTGAAAAGGGAAACATTTGTTCCAACTTATATCACAAACACAGATGAAATAAGAATGGCCAAATACTGAGGAAAAGGAAAGTGGGGAAAAGAGAGCCCCAAAAAACAGCACTAATGCCAAGCTCCAGCAGAAACACTGCAACAACAAGTTTCCAGTGTTTTCAACTGAGGGAAAGGACACAGTAGCAAGTTCCTCTTGTTACCACACTGACACACGCCCAACCACTGGATCCAACATAGGGGCAGATGACGTCCCATCTCGACAAAGAACCTGCAGGTGGCAACTGTAGAAGCAGCAGATTATCAGAGGAAATGTGCCAATTCCTCATTTACAGAGTCACACAACCTAACCCACAAATGGGCTTCACCACTCCTTCCCCAGTTCAATTACCTTTCAGTTACAGGCCTGTGATTCAAGTTCTCTCCACTTTCAGTTACCCTACCAGTTCTTTGCAAACTACCTATGGTTATTATTTTAGCACTTAAAGCACAATTTTGAAGGGGATAAAAATGACCATAGTCCCAAAGGAAAAATTTGTGTCAAATTGCCCTATTAGTATTAAAAATAGGCACACTGAATGAACAAAGCATGATACTCCTGTATCTTACTCAATATCACTGACAATTTATGAAATAGAGAAACTGTACTTTTGTATTAATGTAGTTTTAGAAATAAAAGGTTAAACACATTATAAATAATGTCAACAAACAGTACTTTAAAAACAAAGTTCTAACAAATATATTGTTTGCTTAATCATAATGCCCTCCTCCTGTATTTGTGTGACCAACAGGACATCTTGCTTGGAGCACGGGGCACATGCTTCTCTTCCCTGTAAGACTTAGCTATGAAATGGTATATTTTTTCCAACTATTTTTGTGAAAACACTTTTTGTAGCTGTATAATAAAAGTCTAGTTGCAACTAACTAGCTATGAGTTCTTGTTTAATTTCAGTAAGCAAATGCTTTCCAACACCAAGTAATTACAGATTTTTTAACACAGAGGACTTAACATTTTCTGCATTTCTAACAAAGTGAATAAAAATCCACGAATGCAAATAATTGCTTGGATCATTCAGGTCCAATTTAGGAGCTTTAAGAATATAAATGTGAACATGTCCATTACCATAGCATCTTTATTCCAAATCAGTTCCTAAATTTTTTGGAAGAAAAAAAATCCTTCATGTTTAATATATTAAGAACAAAATCTAAAGCAATTCCTCTGGACTGCAACTTCCCCATCTATGAGAAGGGTGCAGGATAAAATCTTTGATGTTATTTTCATTTCTGCCACTTTCTATTCTTACAAACCTGAAGTTCTCTTAGTTTCTGAGGGGTTCACGGTGAAGAAAAAACTATTCAGGTTACAAAATAAATGATAAACTGATCTTTAACTTATTACTATTCTTCCCTAGACTTTAAGGTCCCAAGTCTCAAACACCTCACAGTTTCTTGCATACCTTAAAAATACCTTATTTTGTCAACAGTACCAATTATTGAAGGTATCTCTATTTTAAATGAAAGTTCTCATTTTCATTTTTCCCTCCTGATCTGAACTGTGTAAGGACAAATAACAATTACCACACAGAAGTTTGGTGTAAATTGCAGAAAGCTGAGTGTCTCTAATTTAGAGACTGGAGTTTCTTAATTCCTCATCTGCCAGATCGCAAACAATAAAAAATAATGCTTTCAATTTCCCCACAGGAAGGCATTGTGGTTAACTTTAGAAAATGCCAAGGCTGAGTTAATACTTGGAAAGACTTCGTAAAAACCTTTCCCTTTGCCTGAGATGTCTAATGTTATAAAAGGAACACTTCTGCTATAGTAACTCATAATGATTTTAAAGTAGATTTATATATGGAGAAAATTCTATAAAGCACTAATACAGTATCCAAAAAAATTTCAGGGTTTTTATGTTTTATAATATATACATAAGTTTATTTAATCAACATATAAATGACTACTCATAGCCAAAACATTTAAGTTCCCATTTCAATTAGCTATACTACCTCAAGAATCTCTAAGGACCTTCAAATTTCCCATCTTCTAAAACAGGGGCTGGCAAATTTTTCTGAAAACGACCAGACAGTAAATAATTTAGGCTTTTCAGGTCTTACAGTGTCTGTTGCAATCACCCAAAGCAGCCATGGATAATATGTAAATGGATGAGTACAGCTATGTTCCAATAAAGCTTTATTTATGGACACTGATAATTTGAATTTCATGCAATTTTCACAGGTCATGAAATATTAGTCTTTGATTTCTTTCCCCAACCATTTAAAAATGCAGAAGCCATCCCCAGCTTGCAGAACGTATAAAAACAGGCAGCAGACCGGACTTGGGCCATGCGCCACAGTTTGCCAACCCCTGCTCCAAAATACCTTCAAAATCCAGTGACTTCAAAATTTCAAATCATTGCTTCCCAGAGATTTAAAGTAATTATTCAAATCTTCATCAGTAACTTCTTTTAGACTGGCTGGTTTCCACTTTGGACTCTGGTCTTTATCTATTAAAACTGTCAAGTGAAGATACAGAAGTGTTAGTTCATTTCTTTCTGGTATTACCAGATTTTAATTACAGAATTAACAAGCTACCTTGTACTAGGCATATTTTTCTACAGCACATTTTTTTCTGCAAAGTACAAATTTTTGTATGTGACTTTTTCTTATAAATTAAGCCTCACAGATTTTGGAGGGATAGCAACGTATTGATGAGGATCGTGTGGGTATTTTCTAACCTGCCAGGCCTGATGCCTCTAGCTTGAATGCAGCCTACTGAACAGATCCAGTTTAAAGCTTAGAAGTCTTCTCTTCAAACAAAATTATAAATGAAATCTCCCTGTTATAAAAGTTAAAACCAGAGTTGGTGTGATTTAAAGGGAAAGCAGGAGAGGGTGGAGGGCTCAGATCTGCCTTCTGACTCCTCCACAATGAGTTGAGAAGAAAACTGAGGGTAGAGGAAGGGGGCTTTATGCATAATTGAGTGTGGACACTGCCGTTCCGCTGAGTCCTCTGGTTCACATAGCTCTGAATTAAAATACCAGACCTTCTTCAAGTTTGAGAAACCCCACTTCTCCTGTTTCAGTGGTGTCATCATTTAGAGTAGCCACAGAGTATCCTCACAGGATTACAAAGCATGAGGCAATCTGTAAACTTTAGAAGGGGGGGATGTCAGTGTCCTGGCTGTGACAGTGTACTACAGTTACACAAACGCTACCCCTTGGGCAACTGGATGGAGGGGTATGCAGGATCTCTGTAGTATTTCTTAGAGCTGCACGTGAATCTAGTTATCTCAAAGAAACACACACCAAAAAAACATTTTTAAGGGAAGGGGGCTATATTTAGTATGGTTGTGTAGGCAGTTTTAACCATGCTTAAAATGTGCATAGTTCTTGTGAAGAATAAAAGTATTTAAACATACAAACTCTACAGTGAACTTAAAAAACTGCATTTAGAATGAAAAGGGTAAATAATTACAGAAGCAATCTGGGAACCAAGGAAGCAAGCTGCCTCAGGAGGTAGAGGGAAGCGGGGCTTCCCACATAATTAAATGTGGATACTGGAGGTTTTTAAGGTTTGGCTGCCTAACTTTGGGACTCTAGCATCATCAGATGAGTGATGACACTGAACACTGATATTATAATCCCTGCCAATTTAAAAGTTTTACATGCCCTGGACAGTGTAAATAAAAAATAATCCTGGAACATTCTACAAGGACCCCTTTTAAGCCCTCTGGCCAATGCTATCTACCTCCTTGACAGTCCATACAGGGCGAAAGGAAGGATAAAAATATCTGCGTGTTATTTTATTTCAAACTAACAGAAAATTTTACCTAGCATAGACATCACAAGTTCTTGCCATGTAGGCAGCTCAGGCTTTTCAGGTCTTATAAGACATCCTCTCAAATTCCATTTGGTAGCTCTCTAGCTCTGCTAAGGAAATCTATTTTTATTTTCTTCTATGACCAGGAAGAAGTCTGTTCTAGATGTTAAAAGTAAAAACTTTTGACAACTGTTCCCCTAATTTGCTAGTTTATTTAATTTGCTAATATATTTTATAATTAGCAAACTGAAGCAAACATCTGGTTATGCAAAAACACCAGTTTTACCCAGAATATATACTACTTTCCAAATAAAAAGGTTATGCTGAAAATGAGGCAATATACTTTCTCTTTATTAAAAAGTAGCTTGATAAGAACCTGCATTATAAATCAAAACTTTAAAGCTGTTCGGTTGCAACTCTTTTTCCTTCAAATACCGACTGTATATCTAAAAACAATACCTTCCTTTCTTAAGTTTAAGAAGGGCTGCTCTAACATATAATGATACGTTAGCAGCATAACCCAAGTACCACACAGATCCTCCTAAAATCAGAGGTCTAGGCTCAGATCCACACACAGAGCAAGAATTTACTGGAAATTAGTGGGAAAAATACATATTTTACTTGGTTTCTGTAAGTCATATAGTTATCTCCTCCCACTCAACTCCATGTGTCCTCTAAAAGCATGTGAACCCAGTGCTTATTTCTGATATTGCATCATGCCATAAATTTAAGAAAATTATACAAACAGTGACCAGTGTTTATGGAGACTTATAGCTCAGAGAACAATCTTTTATTCAGATAAAGCATATCCAGAGTCTGTACTATATTAAAGTGATCAATAAAAATATTAAAAAATTAGATATGCAAAGTACGTGCAGAGGGAAAATGCATACAACAGAAATAACAGCTATTATTTTTAGGGATAGGGGCATATGCATAAAAAATTTTTGCAAATTTGCTAGGAACAAAAAAAAAAAAATCAACCACTTCACTTGCTTTTTCTAAATATGCTAGCTTTGAAGATAAGCAAAAATAGAAATTAATAAAAACAGTAGGTTTTACTAATTATTACATACGTTTTTCTCAATGTCAGTGTTTCTCAGATACAGGCAAGGAGGTGGATGGGAGGGTTGGGCACTGCTGGTATTTTCCAGGCCCGTACAAAAGAGAAGGGAAGGGTAGGGGCGTGAGGGCTCTGTGCAAGAGAATAAATGTACCTTTCAGAGGCATCAGCAGCAGAATGAGTTTACAAGCTCACATTGCTCTGCATGTGACTTTAGAAGCAGGATGAACTCTTACATATAAATTAGGGAGTAGTGACCAGGCTATGTGAATTTTTTTAAAACAATACTGGATGCAAGGACTTATCTTCCCTTATATGCCAGTAGGTAATTTTTTAAACACTTTGCAATCTTTATAAAAGTCTAATTTTCACTAATAAGACAACTATCATCTTTGATTAACAGTATATGCTCACAAATTCCATTTCCATGATAGCCAGGAAGGAAACAACTGTCACTTACGTGCCCTTACGCCTTCGGGAAAGTCATGGCCTCCCTGAAAGAAATGAGAGTAAAAAGAAATGAGCATCCTTACTCCTGGTGTCTCCCTACACCCACTTTAGCCTCCCACCCCCATGGCCACAACCTGAACCACAGCATCAGAGACTGGACCGACTCTGATAACCACTCTCTGGCCACCGCCCCATCCTTAGTTGCTCCGTGTCTCCACGGCTGCAAACCCGACAGTGCTGGGCGCGCCACTCTTCCTGCATCCCTCACCGTCTGTTCCGCTTCACCTCGCTCTTATCCAGCCCAGCTGCCCCAGTCAACGAATGTGGTCACTTCTTCTTAAAAATGTCATCTCCCTCAGGCCCCCCACTCCCCTTTATTCTGTCCTGGCAAAGTCCAGCACCAGGTGGACCCTACCATTTACTTCTGCCTGCACTGGAGCAGCTAAATCTTGCTGCAGTAAAAGCATACAACTGTGACTTGTTTCATTTAAAAATTCATCATCACACATCTCAGGCATGGAAAACTGCCCAACAGCCTGCGCGCTCTTCCTCACGCTCCAAGATAATGATTTAAACTGTCTTCTGTCTCCTCAACCTCTACCCCTAGCAAATTCTACTCTATCTTCTCAGCTAATGTCTTAACCTTCTACTTCATTTAAAAGAGAGAAGAAGCCCTAAGACATGAAGTTCCCTTCTTCCTACCACTAAAACACCTGCCACCCAACCACAGCCGTCTGCACCATGACTTCCCTTTCCTGCTGGTGGGAGGGACCATCCCCTTTGAAAGGCCAGTCCAGTCCTCTCTGCGTTCCCATTCCCTCCTACCTTCTCAAGGACTTTGCCTGAGAAGGGTACCCATCTCTTTTTCCTTTCCTGGCATCCATGTAGGCAGTACACCTTATATTAAATGTAGGCTGAGGGCCTGCAGCTCAAATGCCAGGGAACATACGGCTCTACTACATAGTGACTGTGTGACCTTGGGATAGTAATTTCTCTAGCTCCCAGTTCCCTGAAATGGCAATATCAATCTGTCCAATCACAGGATTATCTTGACCCACATACCAGCACAGTGTCTGACACACAGTGTTCGGTGAATGTTAACTATTACTAGTATCATCGACACAATGTGCACTCTCTCTGGTATCATTCCCAATCACTTATAAACATGTTCTACTATCTTCCACCTTACAAGACAATGGAACCTCACCTGATTCCAGTCCCGGCCTCTACCCTGTTTTTGTTTGAAGCAGCAAGAGGTGTATACAGTCTCCACTTCTTCACATCCCGTGGACTCATTTCCTCTCCAAGTCGCCACACTGTAACTTCTGCCCAACACTCCTCTGAAACAGCTCGCCCAAATCCCCCTTAACTTCAGGGGACGAGGTGCCTTTACCTCCTCTTCCGGACGCTGCGACGGTGCTCCCTCCCTGAAGCACTCCTCTCTTGCTTTCGTGCCGCCTCACTCCTGGCTCCCCATCCCTCTCCCGCTGCCCTTTCTCCTCCAGCCCACTTCAATGCTGGGGCTCCTCGGGGCTCGGACCAGGCTCCCTCATTTTCCTCCTATGTCATCTTAGTCATTCTGTACTCCACACAACAGCTGAGTGAGCAATTCTATTAAAATATAAGATCATGTCACCCCTCTGCTCAAAAACATCCGGTGGCTCTCCACTTCTCAGAACAAAAGCCAAAGTCTCATAAAGACCTTCAAGGCCACACGTGCTCTAGGCAGCCCTTCCCTACCCTGTTATCTCTGATCTCATCTCTTTCGCACCCACTGACCACCCCCGGCCCCACTCCACCCATAAGGCCTCCTTGAGGTCCCTAAAACAGGCAGGCACATACCCCCATCTGAGCTTTTACTTGCGGGACCCTCTTCCCGATGCTCTTCCACAAGATACTTGCCCAGTTCACTCTCACTTCTTTCAAGTTTTTACTCATCTCAGTGAGATCTTCTCTGGTCAACCCATCTACAAGTTCAAACCTCCTCTCTATCCCTATAATCCACACCCTCCTTCCCACTTTACTTCTCTCCTTGGTACATATAATAAGTATACTTTACAAAGTTATCTGTTTACGATCTATCTTCCCCATGACAAAGATCTGTCTGTTTTGTTTACCTTTGTATTCTGGTGCCTCAAACAGTGCCTGGAACATGGTAAGCACTCTTATTTGTGAAGTAAATAAATCTTTACAGCTTTTTAAAAATTGGTGCTAGTGTCTCTCAGATTTAAATCTCTAAGCCACACCTCTAAGCTCCAACTCCTAAATGCATTCTCTCCCTCATCCATCATCAAGGCCTATCAGTCCTATCTCCTACAGTTGTCTCAAACCCATTTACTCCTCTCCATTGCCAGCAGCCTAGTCTAAGCCACTACTATTTTTACCTGGATTACTGCAGTAAACTCCTTTCTGGTCTCTACATCCACTGAACCCCTCCAACCCCATCTCCATTTAGTAGCATAATTACCTTAAAACAAATTGAAACAAATCATGACCTGCTGAAACCCAAGAAGCTTCTCTACATACTCATTTCTCACCCTTCAGGGCACAGATGAGCTGAGATCTCAAAGATGTCTTCCCTCACCTACTTATTTAAAGCAGGTTTCCCTCTGTCTCCCTACTCTCACCTGTCACATATCATTCTCTATCACCAACCCAGTATGTTTCTTTTAAAGCACTTACCACAATTTGTAATTATTTTACTTATTTTATTCTTTATAGTCTCAGTAGACTATAAATTCCACAAGAACAAGGACAGTGTCATTCTTTCAACTACCTAACACTTAGCACAGTCCCTGGGACACAGCTAACACACTTGCTGAGAGACTGAAGGAAGGAGGGAATCGATTGATCTGGGCAGTGCACTAAATGTACAGTGAAAAACACGGACTATGTGAGGTATACCAGATAGTGGTCAAAGTGCAGACCCTGGAGTGAAACCCCCTGGTTTCACACGCCGTGTCTCTGCACCACCTTAGGCAGATTACTCCTCTATGCCAAAGTTTCGTCATCTGTAAAATGGAGACAATAAAAGTACCTATACTTCTAGAGATAATGTAAGATTTAATGGAGAGGGTGCATGTAAAGTACCTAACACAGTACTTGCTCATAATGACAGCAGACATCAACTGCCAGGAGTGACTTTAAGATATGACTAATAAAGCTTTATTTATGGTTAGACAAACTACTTTGAATATCTTAATACATGTACTGTAACTATTTCAAGACATGAAATTCATTAGGGATGTCTTTTTTCTAGTTATTAAACAAAATATTTCTGTTAGGCCATATATTAATCTAAGGGCCCTCTATACGTAACACAAAAGGGATGATTCTGCTTTTAAAGAGTTTATCATCTGGAAGAGGAAATCACTATGACTCTGAAATGTTTCACGAAATCAGTAATATTCTATGTGAGTACTACCTATTTTAAGTGTACTTACAATGGGACTCTCAATGCTAATCTATTAAACATGTAACAGACTAATACCTTCCATTTGTCATTATACACATACATACACATGCTTCATACACCAATGATGGAATTCAGATTTAGAGAGTTTATGCCTTTTGCCCAACGTAAAAAATCCATGCCTGAAAAATGGTTACTTTCTATTTTGAATCCCATATAAGGTTAGAGGCCTTACACTTACATACTAACGTAACTGCTGTTTCATAAAGGCTTAGTAACAACCTAGGAGCAATACCACCACACACCTTAAGCTAAGTGGCCCACTGTGTTTTCATAGAGTACGTGTACAGGTAGTTTTCATTTTCTTATTTATAGTTTTCTGTATTTTACATGTTCTACAATGACCATATTTTAAGGTCATAACTCTAAAACGATAATACTTAAAAATTCTTACCACACAAGCTTGACTCAGCCGATATTCCATAGTTAATACTTCTTGCAAGGTCTTTGAAGACCCCTCTCTGAGTTGCCTTAATGTGATCTTTAGAGATGTTGGAGACATTTTATTAATTATCTATTAGAGAAAAAAATGTTTACTAGGTTTAGACCAATAGTTCCTTTATTGTCTGTAATAAACTGAGTTTTTATATAATCACATTAAAATTTGCTCCTTAACAGTACTTTCAGATGAAAGTCCTACAAAAGTGATTATGCCGTAGGCTAATCCTGCCAAAGCACCAAACAAAAGTTTTCTAATCCATTACAATTAGAAAACAGATCATTCCACTGGTCAAATGAATTCTACACCAGTAACTTAATAAAATAAATCTACATTTTGTAGCTTGCCTGATATAAATTATGATCCCAACTAGGTAAGCAAACAGAGATTATGCTTAAATAAGTGTAATACACATCTTAGAGATGTCTAACATATCAGAGGGCATTTCACTTTATAATATAAAGGTGAAGGAGTAGAAATACAGTAGCTCTTTCCACTTTGTGACTAGAGAAGTGTCTTAACTTTGTCTTCACCTGTAAATAAGTCCACTTACCTTGGAAGTAAGGAGAGAAAACTATTCAAGGTATCATGAGGTGCTCTTCTATAGTATTTAAATAATAAAATGATAGGCTTAACTCCTTGGCTACTATGCTATGTCACTTCATTCTGAATTTTAAGATGCTGTTACCAGTGTTCCAATATGTGTGTTTGACTGGGACTAAACAGCTACTGCAAAAGGTCCATCATGTGCTGTGTAAATGTGATGTTGCCCTTTCCTCTATAATTGTATTATACAGTTTTCAGGCATATTGTTGAATGATTGTCTCAAAGTTAAAAATTTCACTTTTGAATTCAAAGAATTCCCCACATCAAGATTCCAGGTTCTTTGTAGCATCCTCAAGTCTGGCACCCAGATTTAGAGAACAGACTGACTGGAGAGAGCAACATCTTACCTAGCAGTTGTCAAAGCTTAAATAGATGACTACTGTACAGAGAAATTTCAAGGAAGATCAGTATCCTATCTATAGCCACAATGCTGCTGAAGAAGAGAAAATGATTAAGGCTTTTATGAATCTGGTTCATATTCACAGGACTCATTTTTCTGCCCTTGGGAACCACCCGAAACCTGGCTGAATGGAAGTCCTACAACTAGGGAAGGACTGACTGATTGATTGATTTAAATCCTCACCTGAGGACATTTTCTCCATGGATTTGTAGAGAGAGTGGAAGGGAGGCAGGGGGGAGAGAGAAACATCGCTGTGAGAGAGAGACACTGATTGGTCGCCTCCCGCACATGCCAGAACCAGGGCAGGGAATCTGCAACTGAGGTACGTGTCCCTGACCCACTCTAACCACTGAGCCAAACTGGCCAGGGCATACAACTAGGGATTTAAAGAAGCCACATGCAGGCTGGTAGGAGAGGCAGAGACATGGAACTGGCTGGTCCCATTCCCACATGTGGCGGATAAAAACTGGGAGGGATTTCTCAGCTTTGGAGGTCCTCCCTAAGGAGCAAGGGGTCCCAGCTCCACACAAGACCCCCAGCTGGGGTTTCAGGAAGAGAAGTTCCCATGACTTCTGGCTGTAAACACCAGCAGGGACTGGCTGAGTGAGACCAAGGCTGCTGGAGTCCTAGGCAGTCCCTCTTACAGGGCCCACTCACGGATTCACTCGGACTCTCCCTCTGAGCTCCAGTGCCGGGGCAGCAGCTCAAACCAGGGACACACGGGGAGGAACTGAAGCGTCTGGCATCCCTGTGAGGCTGGAGGGGCAGCTTTCTCCCAGACAAAAGTGCCGGCAGAGGCCACTGTTCTTTTTCTGAGCCCTTCCCCCACAGAGGCGGCAAGCAGGCCCATTCTGATTCTCCATCGACTATCACCTGTTTCCCCCGCCCCAGTGATTCCTTGAGAACCCACCTCACAAACTTGCGGGCCCACCCAAGCTGTTTCCAGTGGCTTTTCCAAATGGCCTGCCTTGGCTCATGCTTCAGACTTTCCTAAAAATCTCTCAAACACGCAGCATCTGGCCTTGGCGTGCCCTGTACCTCTCACTAAGTGGCCTGAACCTGGCACTAACGGCAGACAGCCTTGCTTTGCAGCTTGGCCTCACCTAGGCACCTCCGAGCCCAGTACAAATAGCAGCCACTTGCAGATCGCTTTGTAGCTCGTGCTGGGTGGCCTAGGGCAAAACACAGGTGATGGCTGACCTTGGCCTGCACCTCCAGAGAGGCACCAGTGCCAGCGCACTGGTGGACAGCTTCAGACCACATCAAAGTACCACCCAACCACCTCCACAGGCAACACACTTAAGGGGCAGACTCAGCAGGCACCAGAGCCCTGCTGAAGTAAGTCCTGCTCTGTGGCCTGGGCCCCTGCACAGCTGATCCTCCAGTGGTCGGTGGCCACAGCCAGTCCTTGCAGCTGACTGGCCTGTGGGTAAATACCTCCCATTGACATTCCAACAGCAATCTAGGTTCAACTACAATGGGAGGGTGTACATAGCCCACTTGGGGGGGGGGGGGG